TGACCGGGCACAGGCCGCCGAGCAGCCAGGTACCATGTCCGGAATGATTTCATTGCATGATGTACCTATCTTTGCGTTGTTTGACACCGGGGCGACACATTCGTTCGTCTCGTCCAAGTGTCTAGAGGCCTTAGGAGTCCGAGGAGTGAGTGCCGTCGACCCCCTTGAGATCAGCTTAGCTTCGGGGAGGAAGATAGTTACGAGCTCCTTGGCCGATAATCTTAGCATGAATATTGGCGGCAGAACTTTAGAGGTTGATGCATTCGTGATCGAGATGAGGGACTTCGACCTCATTCTCGGCATGGATTGGTTGGAGAGATATCACGCGGACATCCGATGTCGCGACAGGGAGGTGTCACTACACTTAGCCGAGGGAGATCGTATTACGTTCTTCGGGACGAAGTCGAGGACCCTACCCCGAGTCATTTCGATGGCGAAGGCGACTAAGTGTTTGCAGAAAGAGCATTGCCAGGGATACCTGGTGAGCATGGTCGGGGAACCTTCGGAGGAGCGGATTCCCGGAGATGTCATCGTGCGTGACTTCGTGGACGTCTTTCCGGATCAGCTACCGGGGGGACCACCTAACCGCCAGGTGGAGTTCACGATCGACCTGGTGCCTGGAGCCGGGCCAGTGTAAAAAACGCCGTATCGTATGGCGCCGAAGGAGCTTCAGGAGCTGAAGGCTCAGATTCAGGAGCTATTGAGTCTCGGTTTTATCCGACCGAGCATCTCTCCTTGGGGAGCACCTGTCCTATTCGTCAAGAAGTGGAGGATTGGCTGTGTTGTGGGACAGAAATACTAGTATTATTCAAGTCATTTGTCATTCTTTTCGTATTGAAATGGGGATTGCTGATCAAGGAGGGGCTGGATCATTTGGGTTATTCTTGTATATGCAAGTACTGAGAGAGGGGTTAGAGTTCAGCAGTGGGAGTTTTTTAGCCAGGCCAGACATAAGTGGGGCTCCAATTGGGTGGTTAGAGGGAATTGGAAAGCAGTTCTTAACAATACGGAAGAGGTAGGGGGCAGGGGAAAGGGAATGGAGGAGCTAGCTGAATTTCAGGATTTTGTCACTCAAATGGGTATGATGGAAGTTATAATGCAAGGACATCAATTTATACGGTGTAACAACATGAGAGCAGGGGAATTCATAGAGGAGAAATTGGATAGGGTGTTTGGATCATTTGAGTGGAGCTTACAACACCCTAATGCCATAGTATTGAATTGTCTTAAAACAACATCTGACCATGGGCTGTTGGTGCTATCTGATGAAGGGTTTGAGCCAAGGAGAAGAAAAACTAGATTTCAATTTGACTGCGGATGATTGAAAAGAGATGGGGTGCAGGAAGTGGTTACAGATGCCTAGAATTCTTTTTCCTCATGGACTCCTATGTTTCAAGTCAAGAAGAGGATTAAACAGACTAGAATTGCCTTGCTTAAATGGAGCCACATATTTAAAGCTGAGACAACAGGGAAAATAGAAAAGCTGACAGTAGTACTTGAGGAATTGAGAGCTCTTGGAGGAGAGAGGAACTGGGAGACTTGGGACAGCATGAAGAGGGAATTAGAAGATGCTCAATGTTCTGGAGAACAATTCTGGAGGCAAAAATCCAGAAATCAATGGCTCAAAGATGGGGACAGAAACACCAAGTTCTTCCATGCACTCACCATGCAGAGAAGAAGAACCAATGCAATTTCTAAGCTTGTGGTTGAAGAAGGTAGAATTTGTGAATCCAAACAAGATATTGAAGAGGCTATGTGCAAGTTTTATTATGAGTTGTTTCAATCTCAAGGGAGTGCTGATGAGGAGCAGATTCTACAACACATTCCATGCTCCATTTCTACAGACATTAATCAAGAACTAGTGGCTGAAGTGGATGAAGATGAAATCAAGTTATCATTGTTTAGTCTGCATCTAGGGAAAGCACCAGGGGAGGATGGTATGTCTCCTCTTTTCTCTCAGCATTTCTGGCCTATTATTAAATTAGATCTTTGTTCTGCTGTGTTGAGTTTTTTTTTAATTCAATAGACTGTTTAAAAGCTGGAACCACACATTTATCTGCCTCATCCCTACTTGTCTGAATCATACAACTCTCAGTGATTTCAGACCAATAAGCCTATGTAATGTTGTCTATAAAATCATTTCCAAGTTGTTAGCTTCCAGAATTAAGAATTTGTTCTGCATCTTTGTGTTAGTGAAAATCAAGCTGCCTACATTCCTGGTAGGCAGCTGCTGGATAATGTTATAATAGCACATGAGATGATCCACTTTTTAAACAGACACAGAACGGGCATGAAAGGATTTATGGCAATTAAGCTTGGATGAAGGCTTTATGATAGGGTTGAATGGCATTGTATTCAGTTGATTTTGTTGAAGTTTGGTTTTCATAGAACCTTTGTTGACTGGATCATGGCATGTGTGACATCTACTGCATTTTCTGTCAATATCAATGGTGAAATATGTGGTTACTTCAAAGCATCTAGGGGCATTAGATAAGAAGATCCCATATATTACCATATATTTTTATTCTGGTGTCTGAGCTTTTTTCAAGACTTATTCAGAAGTGAATTGAATTGGGAAATATAGCTGGTATTAGAATTGCTAGAAGGGTGTCCAACTGTATCATCTCCTGTTTGCTGATGATTCACTTGTATTTTGTGGTGCTGATTTGAAATCTGTGAGAGCTGTGCTTAGAATCCTTGAGCTGTACCATGCTTTTGCTGGACAAAAGGTGAATTTCAGTAAATCTTCCTTATTCTTCAGCAAAAATGTGAGTGTGCATATGCAGACTAATATATATCATCTTCTGAATGGTATTCAAGTTCACAGTTCATCTATGTATCTTGGACTACCTCTTGGCATTGGTAGGTCTAAGAAGCAGACTTTTGAGTATGTAGTGGTGTAGCGAGGAACAAAATTTCCAGTTAGCAAAATAGGTTTCTTTCATTTGCGGGTAAAGAAGTTCTTATGAAGGTTGTACTTAATGCTCTTCCTGTTTTTTCTATGTCTTGCTTCACTATTCCACTATCTGTTTACCACAAAATTGCTAGTTCGTTAGCCAAGTTTTGTTGGTGCAAAGGTGAATGGCAGACTCCAGGTATACATTGGAAGGCTTGGCAAAAGCTTACCTTGCCTAAGGAATGGGGTGGGCTGGGTTTCCATGATTTAAAGATGTTCAATGAAGCACTGGTTCTCAAACAAATATGGAGAATAGCTACCATGCCCAACTACTAGTGAGTAAGATTTTAAAGAGCAAATACTTTCCAACATGGTATCATTTCTGCTCAGAGAACACAAAGCTCTTCTTGGTCATGGTGCACATGGATGGCAATGAAGAACAAGCATAAGCAGTGTTTTAGGAGAGTTGTGGGTGATGGCCTTTCAACCAACATTTGGATGGATCCTTGGATGACTCCATCTCCAACATGTACTCCAACTCTGAAACCTAATGTTGTAACTGATGTGGTGCATGTCTGGGAATTAATGGAAGGGGGTGGATGGAGATAGAACTTAAATATGCTTAAGGAGCTTTTCTATGAAGAGGACTACAAAGCCATTCTGCAAATAAGCTCTCTCAATCCAACCAAATCAGACCAGTGGGCTTGGGACAGAAAGGCCAAGGGTGAATATCAAGTAGCTAAGGCATATTCCAAATTTGTGGAAGGCAAGTTCAGAGCAACGGACATTGCAGAGGGCAATGGGCAAGCTATCAGAAGCAGGAAAACAAGACTGAGAAGTTGGAGATTGAACATCAAGGGTAAGTTGAAACATTTTGTATGGAGGAGCTTCACTAACACATTACCCGTTCATAAAAATCTGGTGAAAAGAGGAATAGATATGGATTGCATTTGCCATAGGTGTGGTGAGGAGATTGAAACAATTGAGAATTTGTTCTTTCACTGTGAGATATCCAAGTAAGTGTGGAAACTGGCCCCTGTTAGTTGGGATTTCAGCTCAAAAACTACAACCAACTTTAGAGTATGGTGAAAATATGTATGTTCGGTTGACATGAAAGAAATATCAGAAGCACTCATACAGTTGACCACTTATATTCTATGGTGGTTGTGGAAGTCCCGGAACTTGTGGATCTTCAAGCAGAAATGGATGCCAGTCCACATCACAGTTAAAGCTGCAGCGGCAGACTGGCAGGAATTTTTGACAAGGAGCAAGAGTTGATTAGCAATGAAGAGATGGAGGGAGTCTACATTGCAGATTGTTGCTTCTGTACCATTAGCTTATTTCTATTTGTGTATTATCTGGTTGTAGTTGCACATTGTGGTTGTAGTATTAGTATGTTGATGGATGTTTGATTGGTTGAGAAGTTTATGTATTGTTGAGTAGTATGTTGATGGTGGATGGTTGAGCAAGCTAAGGGCCTCGACATGTGATGCTGCCTTAGTTTTGCATGAATTTGTGTAGTTTATGTATTATTTGAGGGTCTAGGCTACCATTGAGTATGGTTCTCCTTTGCATTGTGGCATTGAGCATTTTGCTCCCGAGTGTAAAACAATTGGCACAACTGACATACACAAACAAGACTAGTCTCGACTTTAGCCACCTTTGGATCATCTCCCCAGATCTTTCTCCTCGTCTTCCAGTAGTAAGACAAGAAAAATCAAAGCCCGGAGCTTTAATTTATCGAAACCCAAAAGTTGCACATAATTAGAAGGCAAAATAGCTTGTTATATCACGACCTTTTACCAAATTGCTAAAACATCACGACTTTCATTTCTTTGCAAAACGATACCTGAATGTCGGAGCTCGGTCATCGGTGATTACGTGTCCGACGATACTTTATTACATGGATTTTAAAAAAATGACGTGGAAATGATTTCTCCACATGTGCAATGACATGGAAACGGCTATAAATACCCAAAATTAGATTAAATGAATTAAAATCGATTCTGCTTTCACAAATACCCTAAATCAATCGATCAGTGAGAAAAAAAAAGTCCTCTTTCAACAAACCCTAAATCTCCTCTTCCGTTGATTGTAAAATGCTATGGGTCCTCCAAGCGGGAATCTTGCTTCAACATCGGGCAACAGGTAGGTCAATCAATCGTTTTTTTTTTCTTGTTGGAAAATTGAAGAATGTCTGCGGAAAATGTGCAATGCAATTTGATATCATCAATATGCAATTTTATATTTTGTCTGCGATTGTTTAGGTAAAGTAATGTTAGGGTTAATTTATTTGAATTTCAATTTTTTTTTGTTCAATAGGCAGAAATGATTTAGGGTAAAGTGATGTTAGGGTTAATTTATTTGAATTTCATTTTTTTGTTCAATATCCAGAAATGATTTAGGGTAAAGTGATGTTAGGGTTATTTTATTTGAAATTTCATTTTGTTTTTTTTTTTCAATATGCAGAAATGATTTTGCGCTTTTTTTACACCATGGGGGAAGATTTGTAACTATTGAGAACACTAAGGAGTATTTTGGAGGTGATGATTCTTTCAAATACGAGCTTGATATTGACAGATTTGGTTATTTTGACCTTGAGGAAGAAGTTAAGAATTTAGGATACAGTGAATGGGCTAGTCTTTACTACAAGATTCCAGGGACATTTGAGTTCAAAATCATTCATAATGATAAGGAGGTGATGGAAATGATTGCTGTACTGCAGACATTGAACCATTATGTTCATATTTATGTGGAAGGTGGCAAGAAAAATGAAGCTTCAACAGGGAAGAAGGGTATTTGTGCTGAGAATGAGGATGATGAGGTTGACAATGAGGTTGACAATGAGGATGAACATGAGAATATAGGAAAGAATGTAGTCTGTTCTGAGAGTGAGAAGGAGGATGCCAATGATAAATCTGATTCTGAGGAAGATATCAATGATTTTATTGATAATTATAACATTGGAGTAGAAGATGAGCTTGAGCAGCCTGAAAGAGAAGAACCTACAAGGAGTTCTGAAGATGAGGTTGAAGATGATGACTACACACCTGATGAAGAGAGTTCTAGTTCAGATGGGCTATCAGCTGATGATCTTGGCACTGATGATGAAGAATATTTAAATGCAAGGAGTGAAAGAGCTGCACTCAGAAAAAATGCACCTCCTGAGAATGACCAACATGTGAACTTTTCTTCAGAACATCATGAGACTTTGTCTGAAAGTCTGTTGCAGACAACAAGAGAAGAGGCTTCTGACTATGAAGACTCTCAAGATGACATCAACACTGATTCATCCAGCTTTGAGGGGTCCAGTGCTGATGATGAAGAGCTTGGGAGGAAGAAAAGAACAAAGGCTCTGTTGTATGATCCTAAATGTGACCACAAGACTTTCAAATTTCAATTGGGTATGAGATTTGAAAGTGTTTCCCAATGTAGAGATGTCATTCAAAAATATGCTATCCACAATGGCCGCAACATTCAAATATGGAGAAGCTCTGCTATTCAAATTGAGGCCAAATGTGTGGAGAGCTGTCCTTGGAAGCTATATGCAAGCAGAATAAACACAGAAGGCAGAATAGGCATCAAAACTTTGGTGGCTACTCACAGTTGTTCTAGGGACATGAGGACCAGACAAGCTAATGCCAAGTGGGTTGCAAAGGAGTATTTGAACAAGTTCAGAAAAAAACCAAGAATGAAAATTGGTGACCTTGAGGATGACATCCTACAGAGGTTTGGTGTCCATCCATCTAAGTGGGTTCTCTACAGAGGTAAGTACAGAGCCTTGAGGTTGCTGAGGGGCTCAGAACAAGAAAATTATGCATGTCTTAGAGGATATATGGCTGAGTAAAAAGGGTTGACAGAGATGGCAGATTTGAGTTTTGGTTAGAGGAGGGATCTGTTTTTAAGAGTTTCTATATTGGTTTCAGTGCTTTGAGAAAAGGTTTTTTGAATGGATGTAGATCCATTATTGGTTTAGATGGATGTTTTTTGAAGACAATGTCTGGGGGTGTTCTTCTCTGTGTTGTTGGAAAAGATGGAAACAATCAGATTTTTCCATTGGCATGGTCAGTGGTGGTATCAGAAAATGAAGAATGTTGGAAATGGTTTGTGAGCATACTCATGCAAGAGTTGTGCATCAGTGATGGGTTAGGGTTGTGTAGGGCCTTCTCAATGCCATCAAAGATTTGGCACCATTTGCTGAGCATAGAAACTGTGCCAGACACATTTACATGAACTGGAAGAAAACACACAAGGGGCAACCTCTAAAAAACAGATTTTGGAAGACTGTGCATTGCACTTTCATGGCTTCATATAAGGAGTCTTTGGAGGAACTTAAAGATGAGGGTGTTAAGGCATATGAAGACTTCATTGAGAAGGAAACTTTCAGGTTTTGTAAGGCATTCATATCTAAAATTCCTAGGTGTGAAATGATTTTAAATAATGTTTGTGAAACCTTTAATAGTACTATTGTGAAAGCCAGAAAGAAGCCAATTGTTGAAATGTTGGAGATGATAAGGACTTATGTTATGGAAAGACAGGTAGATAAGCTGAAATTAGGTTGTGCTGTGACTGATAAGATTTGTCCTAGGATTAGGGTGAAACTGGATGAGTCTAAGTACAAAAGTAGAGAGTGTGTGTCTAAACCCTCTGTGGGAAATAAATTTTAGGTCACCATTTTGGATGACCAATTTGTGGTGGATTTAGTGGGTCATAGTTGCACTTGTAGGGCTTGGGATTTGTCTGGTGTTCCATGTTTGCATGCATGTTCTGCAATTCATTGGTTAAAAGAAGATGCTACTGATTATGTGCATCCCTATTTGAGCTTGGAGAGATATATTGTTGCCTACTCTACCCCTTTGGAACCTTTAAATGGGAAAAGGATGTGGCCTGAAGCTGTTGGGGAGCCAATCAAACCACCACCTTATAGAAAAATGCCAGGCAGGCCAAAAATGAAAAGAAGAATTGCACCAGAGGAAGAGGCAAAAAGTGTTACAAAACTGAGAAGGTTTGGGTTGAAAATGACATGCCAAAGATGTTTTCAGACTGGTCACAATAAAAAGACATGCTCAAATGAACCTGTCTCTAAATTGGCCCCAGTGAGTATATCTTATTAGTTTATCACCTTTAATTTATGTTCTTTTAGCTGTCCTAATACTATCTTAAATGAATACTTGCTTTTTTTGTTTTTGTTTTTGTTTTTGTTTTTTTTTCTTTTTTGTAGAGACCAAGAGGAAGGCCTAAAAAAGGAGGTGACATCTCAGAACAAGTCAGTAGAGATCAACATGTAGCCCAGAATAATCTCCAAACAGGAAGAATAAGAAGAAGAAGAAGAAGAAGAATAAATCCTGCTAGAGCAGCCTCTACTAGTTCAATGACATCTGCTGGGATAATAAGGAAGGAGAAGATACAGGTAATCCAAAGTTCTAACCTTTTAAGCATTATGAGTGTTCTGAGAACATGTTTCTCATATTTTTAACATCAAATTTTGAGATAATCAACATTACAGGCAAGAAAAGGTTATGGGGTAATGGTCTCTGAGGAAACTGGGAACATATACATGAAGGTATATGTTCATTAAATATGTATATATATGATGTGAATCTGAATTGAGTGTTTGATGAATATGTTTCTCATATTTTTAACATCAAATTTTTTCTTCTATTGAATAGATGCCAGGAGAGAAGAGGGTTCATTTTGTGCCAAATAGAAGGGCTCCAGCAAATGCAACTAGGGCTAACAACAAGAAGAAAAGAAGCGGCTCAAGTGTTGAGGAAATCTGTGGAACTCAAGAGAGTGTAAACAAGCAGTCCAAAGTTCAGAAGAAGTAGTATAGATTAGAGACTTTTTTCTTGTTATCCAATGTTTTGTGTGGTCTAAGAACAAGGATTATGTTTGTGGTGTTGGCTGAAAATTTGTGGTGTTGATTGACAGTTTGTGAACAAGCTTTTGTTTGTTGTTTTTCTATGTTGGGGTGTAACTCAACAAATTGGCACTTTGTATGGTCTAAAAACATCATATTGATGCAACTTTTGGAATGTTAAGGAAAGGTTCATTTAAGTTCATCTTCATTTCATTCTAGATTGTTTACACACATTGATTTTTTCATGCAAGTAAAGAGGTTCATTCATATCTGGAGCTGAGTCAGGGTGTTGGGTTTGTTGTGGTTTGTTGGGGACAGAACAAAACTATAAGAATGGCTATTAGCCTCATCATGTACAATCACCTTCACCAAAATAAATCATCAACATACATAAACATAACTTCAAATAGCATAATCATGTTCATTACAAAACCAAAACAAAGCTCCAATTTGGATACAACAACATTTTGGATACAAGATATCATCATATCATCTCCAAACCAAAACAAAACATTCATCTTGTCAAACCAACAACTTCATCTCCAAACATTCATTTCTAATCAACATACCAT